TTTTTCAATTAAATTCAAAACATATTTATTATATATTATTACAAAACAGTAATGATGTTTATCATTTTATGTTAAATATGAAAGATTAGAAAATAAATATCTAAATATTGATAATTTGTTGTTACAAAATAAAATAACAAATAATAGAACATATTATTGCATTAAAAGTGATTAATAATAGTTGTGACAGTTTATTTGCACTTAATCTTGAGCGTTTTTCATAAATTGACCCTGGCTTCTTTAAAAAATATCCGCTCAACATCTGGTTTAACAATTATCTTCGATGAAAATCTCTAAACAAGTAGGTAGTAATATTTTACCAGTTTGGAACTTTGAATCGTGCAATGCAATGCAAATGGACATCATCAGGACAGCATCTGGACTACAGACGGAGAGTAAGACATAGGGAATCGGTACCGGGATTTTATCGATACGATTTAAGTTAATTTTATCTTTTCATGATACGAATTCGTGTCCATAATCAATCAGGTGATTTAAAATAGGTCCAACAGTTTTTCAAAACTCTATTGCAGTGGATCTTAGGCACAATTTTGTTGCACAATATCGATTGTTAGTTCATAAAACAATATTTAACAGTGCACGGCAATGTGCAATCTCATTTGCAATGATAAATACCCGATCGTTTGAAGATGATTTTCAAAAGTTCGTAATACATTTTTCTGCAAATTTATAGACGATCCGCATTTTTTCGCACTTAAACTGCTTTTGTGTGTATAATTGTGTGTGTACTTTAATTGGAAATTTAAAAGAAGGCGAAACTCGAATAGGCATTTAGTACATGAGTACCCTTAACCTAGTATTTGCAGTATCTGCAGTTTTACCCTTGGTAATTTGTTGATTCATTGTTATCAGCGTTATAAAATAAACTGCACCGAACACAATAATATCACACTCAATAATTGATAAATCAAAATCACTGTACAGTTTAATAACGCAATGTGAATTTGAAAAGTTTATCAGATCTACAGATGCACCCGCACTAATATAAAAATGTCGATTTAAAAGTATATTTGTGCGTCCCAAGCCTCAGGCGCGAAGAGGCCGGAGGGGAGCCGCCGTGATCGAGAAAAATCGGTTCACCCTCTCATAAAAAGTTATCACTTCAAAAATCAAATAAGAAAGAAACAAATATATATTGAGACACCTTTTGAACAATTTTCAAATAGACTCAATAAGATCGACATTAAAGACTGGCCGGCCCTTTGTTTTTAGGTTGGTAATGGCAAATAAACTCCCTGCAGCCGGATAGTACAATTTTTCCTCATCTGTTAGGGAAAGTCTTGAACTGGTAACGAACAAAATATCCAGATTCGGTCCCCCCCACATAGTGGAAGTGATGTCTCTTGCTGGAAGCCCAATGACCTAAAATTTCCATAGTTGATTGTTACACTCACAAACTCGAGTTGAAAAATCTAACTTGTAAAAGAGCGCGTTCAGTGGGATTAATTTTCAAAACCACGCCCCCATAGTACATGGCCACCCATAGATTGTCGTCTTCATCAATCGTCATCCCATCAGGCTGGCCGGTGATCTCAGGATGATCGTGCATATCAAAAGCCACTTGACGATTGGAAATTGTTCCCAGCTCGTTGTCATAGTCGTATTGAGCAATCTGTAACCAATTCCCGAATTGGAACATTTTCCAAAGTTTGCACGGGAAAATCGCACTTGAAACGACAAAGAATCCACATAGTAAAACTTATCGTTGGCAGCATTCCAAGCCAAGCCGTTGCTGATGTTAACAGGGGCGATCTCCACTGTAGGCCTATCCAAGCTTTCCTTAGTGATTTTGTAGACTATTCCAGCATTTGGAGTCATCGTTCCGGAAGAATCCGCTGTTCCTGTCGTACCTGAGAAACTCGAAATTTGTGGGTCTGATAAATCGGAAAACATCCATACCGATCCATAACCGCCCCTCCTTGTCGGCTTTGCCCTCATTCACCCTGCTTGTAGGGAACTCTTGAGAAATGTTTGCCAACACCTAAAAATCCGTTAAAATATGCATTGTCCATGCTAATTGGTTCTTGGACAGGAAAAACCTTCTGTCTTCCAATTTCATTGGTTCCGTCCCATTCCAAAGCCAGCACTGCCTGGTTTAAACCGACAATCAACAAATTCTCGTCATGTTCAGAAGGAATAACTGGCGCAACGGCGCCATCCAGATGAATGGAATTCACCTCAGAGGTTTCATAATTGTAGCTGTAAATTCCTCCAGCAATCATGTCCACGTAATATAGCATATTTTTGCGTTCATCCCAGGTTGGTTCTTCGGCATGGTCAACTGGTTCGGTTAATTGGTAAATGGCCGGATGATCAAAATCTGCACATCTAGAATATGTGGGATTTTTTTCGATGGGAGTAGCAGGATTTAGCATGACGATTTATCAAGTTTACATAATGCCCTTGAACGTTTTAATAAGAAGGATGGGTTTGAAGATGAGAAAGATTTATATTCTTTGGCGCTTATTTAAGGGTTACTTCATTTGGTTTCTCCTACTAGAAGTCTCAAAAATTCTAAATATTCAAAGGATGGATGAGAATTTCTGAGAAGAAGCTATAAGAATGTTTGCATCAGCTGGCCACATGTCGGATTTCTTAGGGGTATGAGGAAGATGATTCAAGGAGCCAAATAAGGAATCGTGGTGTCTTCAAATGTTCTCTCTAGATTTTCTATTTCAGCCATTTTATCTAGTCTATTTAATTGATTTTGCCTCCATTTCAATGTAACCAAATGGTCGGTAGTTCTGACCACTTAAAATATCGAATTTATATACGGGGCGCTTCCTAATTGATTACAAACACTTCAAGGGTGTCTTCCTGAGCTGATTTTATGCGAAAAAGTTAATATGAACATGGGATCAAAAATGCTTCGTTTCCGATCTCTAAACATTTTTTCATTATCCGCCTTCGTTTAATCACAAAATGTGATTGTTCTTAGGCAGTTCACTTTACAAAATTATGATGTGGAGCGTATGAAAACAAGGAAATTGAAAAACTTAAGCGACAACGTTTAGGAAACTTTAATAAACTCTAGATCGGAAACGAAACATTTTTGATCACATCACTTCAGGTTAAAAATACGTTCGTCAAATTTTTGTACTCAATTAAGAAACGTCCTGGATATTATTTCTTCTATAAAAACTTTGAGATTTTCACGCCTCCAAATTCCTTGCGCTAAATATTTTCTCAATCGAGTGTAGTTCAAGAGGTAAAAAAATTTACAAACAAATGACGAAAATTTTACCTTAATTATTTGTTTATTATGTATATTTTATCCAGTTTTCCAATTTTAAGTAGTTTTTTTATTGTTATTTTTGTTAAACGAAAACAAGGAAAAAATTAGACACCTTAATTTGGAAAAACCTCTATTCACTTTTCCCACCTATTATTTTTACAATACTATAGTCATACAGTTGGTTTTATTTATATATTTTCAACGCAAATATATTTAAATAACTTACTTAGTGGACGAAAGCCAAGTTAAAAAACACACAACCAAAATCTGAAACATCTTTGCCCGTTCTAAGCAAAATTGAGATTTTGTCTCATTTCATGTTACAATTTAGTATATTTATCTTATAAGTGGCATACGATAACTAAGTTTTCAATGATCATACTTGAGCATTTTACAATGCTAAGTAAGTTTTACCGTCCATCAATTAAAATATTGCGGATACTTGAGAAAATCTGTTAATATTTCCAACAAAAAACACGTGGCGGACGTAAAAATCGAAGAATAGCAAGCAGCAGATTATATTGTCTCATTAGAGTACCTGTTTAATTTAAATGTTATAAATACATGATTTACTGGCATGTTCACTTTATGACATAATTTGCACAAATGTTACTAGTTGTTTTATTCTATAAATATAGTGATTTCAATATGATGGCAAAGGCCTTAAAAGTATGTTTTTTTTGCATAAAAGGGAAGTTATACATACATGGGTTTTTATGTAGTTTGGGAGGATTGAGGGCAAATTGGACAATGTTTGTTAACACAAATAATCGATGTTTGCATTCCTCTATTGAATGTGTATTTTATATAACAAATTGCTTATAAAGCAATAATCCAAAAAAATTTAAGTGCTAATCGCACCCTTCCTGATCTAATTTTATGCGAAAAAGTTAATATGAACATGGGATCAAAAATGCTTCGTTTCCGATCTCTTAACATTTTTTCATTATCCGCCTTCGTTTAATCACAAAATGTGATTGTTCTTAGGCAGTTCATTTTACAAAATTATGATGTGGAGCGTATGAAAACAAGGAAATTGAAAAACTTAAGCGACAACGTTTAGGAAATTTTAATAAACTCTAGATCGGAAACGAAACATTTTTGATCACATCACTTCAGGTTAAAAATACGTTCGTCAAATTTTTGTACTCAATTAAGAAACATCCTGTATATTATTTCTTCTATAAAAATTTTGAGATTTTCACGCCTCCAAATTCCTTGCGCTAAATATTTTCTCAATTGAGTGTAGTTCAAGAGAGCAAAAAATTTACAAACGAGCGAGCTCAAATAAATTGACTATTTTGTAATGAAGAAAATTTTACCTTAATTATTTGTTTATTATGTATATTTTACTCAGTTTCCCAATTTTAAGCAGTTTTTTTATTGTTCTCTTTGTTAAACGAAAACACGGAAAATATTAGACACCTTCATTTGGAAAAACCTCTATTCACTTTTCCCACCTATTATTTTTACACTACTATAGTCATACAGTTGGTTTTATTTATATATTTTCAACGCAAATATATTTAAATAACTTACTTAGTGGACGAAAGCCCAGTTAAAAAACACGCAACCAAAATATGAAAAGTTATACATACATGGGTTTTTATGTAGTTTGGGAGGATTGAGGGCAAATTGGACAATGTTTGTTAACACAAATAATCGATGTTTGCATTCAATGTGTATTTTATATAACAAATTACTTATAAAGCAATAATCCAAAAAAATTTAAGTGCTAATCGCACCCATTTCAATTCCAAGCCGAAACATAAAAATACGTTCAAGTTTATAAAAGAAACACACAAATAAGTAGGTAAAATAAAATATAAAAATGTCGATTTCATTTATTTGAAACGTGGAATTTCTCCGTTAATTTGAAGCGATCGGGGAGTATAAATTGATAGGGAGGTTCTCCACCTTCGATAACCCAAACGGTGCCTGTTTCAGCCAGTTCTATCACTGGAAGAGTAGCGGCAGCACATTGTTCAACACTGAAAAAAATCCTGATTCTTAAACTTTTGATTAACTGACTAAAATACGAATTTAATTGATTGAAAAACAGCAGGACATTTTTTGAGAGAAACAGGGGCATTTGCTATCGCTTGAATCTTTTGAAGATGGAAAAGGCAAAAAAGCTTGAATTCAGCTGTAAAAATATCTTGTTTCTACGGGAAAAGCGCCAGTTTTATTTTTTTATATTCCATTTGTACTTAATTCTTTGCCATTGTAAGATAACGTTCAAAAGTATTCCGGTCTATTAAAATACTGTCAAACAATTTCGTTTTGCAATTAAAAATATTACATCTGCACATATCTGGTTTTTCTAGATATTTTCGGCTATCAAGCAGAACAACAAATAAAAACTATTCTATAAATGAGAAAAAAAAATTGGTTTGTTTGGCAAATTTCCTGTTTCCCTTTGCCCAGGACCGAACCGAAGAACCTAAATCTGCCAACTTACGTTTGTGTTTTAAGATCAGAATTATTTGGCGCCAGCTGCTCTTCATACGGAGCTCCCAAATTTTTTCCAGACATGGTAGCCAGCAGATTTGTCTGAGTTGGACCTGGACAAATTGCAATTACTTTAACTTTGGTCCGTTCGTAATGAACCTTATCGCCCCATCCAAGCGTCATTCCATGAATCGCAAATTTCGTGGAAGAATAAATGGGAATGTTGCTAAACGCCTTCACTCCTGCTGTGGAACTTAGATTCAGGATGACCGCCTGCTTGCCAGATCGGCTGGTTGGAAGGTATTTTTCAAAGCCTAAGAGAATACCATTTATAGTCCCTTTCTATAATGAAAAGCCGCGACTTAGAGAAAATCAAAGCTCATCAATAGTGTGCGTACCACATTAATGTCCACTTCATCATTCCAGCGACTGTCGTCCAGAATTCCTGCATTGTTTACTAGGATATCCACATGCTCAAAGGATTCTAAGGTTTTCTGGAAGGCTTCTAAAAAATGTCCAAGTCAACTAATTAGAAAGTCCCAAAACGTTAAAAGCTCTGAAGTTGCACCTTCAAACTGCTCAATACTGCGAACATCAGTTTCCACATAAATGGCTTTATTTTTGCCGAAAGTTTCTTCTATTTCCTGCAGGGCTTTGCCTGCTAATTTCTTGTTGATATCGGCTAAAACCACCCCCTAAGACAAGTAACTTTAGTGAAAACTACTTGGAAACACGGCAGTTTCGAGAGAAAAATCACTAAGCATCTCCTACCTTGGCTCCTTTCTTCAACAATTCCTTGGCAATTCCCAGGCCGATTCCTGCCACACCTCCAGTCACCAAAGCCACTTTGTTCTTTACGGAAAAGGCAACCATTGTTTTTGTTTTTTGGATGCAAATGTGCACTTGAACAGACACTTCATTGGCTACTTTGCTGTTATGATCAATATAAATAAATGCCTGATTTAGCAAGCGGCTGCGATAAGATAATGGAAAAGAAGCGATAGGAATTCTTGGTAATTGAAAACAATATTATGGCGATTTCATTGTTTGTCAATTAAGAGGGTATACCCAAAAGTGTGCATTGAAAAATTTACTATTAGCTAATAATTGTGTAAATTTAGTAAAGTACTAGAGGATATTTGAGATTTATTCTTCCTTACAAAAACAATGAAACCCGCTAAAATCCAATAATCGACAAGTCAACGCGATAAATTTCAAAGTTGGATGTAAAAGTTCTGGAAATAATCTTCCAGATAAAATAATTAAATAAAATTGACGCTGGCTTCGTTCGCCATAGAATCAGATAATTGATTAGTTATTGTAAATAGATCTGTAATAATTTTGAGTTGGCTGCAATTTATTACAAGTGTTGAAACACGAGGCGCATTTTGTGGAAATGCGTGCATTTTCATAAATTTGCTTCTGACTTGTTTGGCCAAGATATCTGGGAAATACCCAGTATTTATGGAAAATCAACAGTTTTTAACTTTGCATAAACACTTACGTTGCATAACAGTCAATTTTTAATGGGTAGGTTTTGAGAAAAAATCATTTAAGTTTAATTTAAATTAATCCCTTTAATGCAAGTGGACAGATGTTATTTTTGGGTGGCAACAAAAGTGACTAAGTGTTTTAATTATGAAATTTCGATTAAAATAATGCCATCGTTCCTATACCAGCTTTCATGCAATATTTTTCACATTAAAAGAACAATTTATCGGGATTTAACGCTAATAAATAACTTTATGAATGATTTAATTGCACTAAATCGTTTGATAGAACTGGCGGAAACGAAATCAAATTAAATATAATAAAACCCGAATTACATTCGGCAAATATCCTCAGGTAGTTTTTTTTTCGTAAAAATTTATATTGTTAATTATGATATATTTATTGAATAAACAGTTGAATAACCGTACTGAATTGCATTTTTTTTTTGTATTGTTTCACTACCTTCTCCAAAACGAAAGATTTGACCGAAAATATGGAACTTCCCGGAAAAAGATAAACATTCGATTCCTTAAAGAACAAACTCAACTCAACGTGCAAAAACTTGGTAGGTATAAGAAGAGAGCGGGCACAATTTCGAGCAATCAGACAAAAATAGGTCTTTTCTCCCTTATATTTTTCTTGTGGTTTCTTGTTTTGGTTGTGGTGTATAAATATTTGACCGAAAATATGAAACTTACCGGAAAAGGTTAAACGTTCTATTGCTTAAAGAACAAATTCAATACAACGAACAAAAAATGAGTATCAGAAGAGGTCAGGCAGAATTTTGACCAATCAGAGCAAAATAAGTCTTTCCATAACGTTTTTGTTCAGAGTTTTAATAGAACTGTTACATAACTAATAATCGCCCTTACTTTTTTTCCTTATATATTTCTTGTCGTTTCACTACATTTTCCAAAGAGAAATATTCGACTAAAAATATGAAGCGTCCCGGAAAAAGTTAAATATCCGATTGCTTAAAGAATAAACCCAACTCAACGAACAAAAAATGCGCATAAGAAGAGAGCGGGCACAATTTTGAGCAATCGGAGCAAAATAAGTCTTTCCCTCACTTTTTTCTTCAGGGTTTTAAGAGAACTGTGTATATTTTTTTCTGAAGAATAGTGCTGCTTAAGATATTACGTGATTAAGTGCTCTAATTTTATTCCGGTTTTGCGCCTTCAGTCTAATGTGTTACATTTCCCAAAATTGTATATTTTCTTTCATTTGAATCATAAAAGTAGTAAAATTATGACCTTACGGCTCCAGGCGGTTTTTCGCATTTTTTTTTCAAAATTTAACAAATGATGTTTTTATGAAAATTATTCCTAATTTCTCAAAGTGGAACCGCAAACTGAATGACTTAATTAAAATTCAGTGCTCAGTTTTGTCTTTTTCTCCATGATACTTACTCGTCAACTTTGCAAAAGACTGAAGTCTTCTGATGCCTTAAGCAAGTACTAATCTACGAATACGAAAGGCAAATCTACTGACAAAATTCTTATTTTAAAGGGTAATCGCCCAATTTTTCTTTTACTAGTTTTTAAATAGCAACTAATCAATGTTTCTCAAACAAATAAAAAGAAGAATTAAACATGCGAGTTCATTTAAACTTCCCAACCTGAATGGAGCCGTTTTTCTCTCTTAGAATTTTTTTGGTATAACAGTCCATTAATTGGCTCGTTTGGAAAACTTGCCGCGGAAATTTCCCACATATCTTTCCATATTGGGACAATATTTACTGTGGCTTCCATGTTCCATTACCATCGTCTATATTGACATTGAGGCTCCAGTGGCTTCTATTACTTAAACAGCTAGGTGAGGCTCACCACCCAGCAACAATCTATTCATTATTAATATATTATAATTGTTTACGAAACGTAAACTCGATAAATCAAATCGCATTCAATAAGACAACAACTTATACATATTATTAATCCATTACCGTAAGTTGAGAATAAACAAAATATGGATTGAAATCGCCGCCCAAGTATCACTTTACCACACAATCAGTTTGAAAACAACGCGGTGCGAGAAAACATGGATAGTTCCCAAGAAAAACTCGCCAATATAATTTCGAAGTTGAAAAATAATTGTTTGTTGATTAGTCCGAAAGTTGCGGTCAATTATGGTTGTCCGAAGATTTTCGATGGTTTCTATTGCTGGCCGGAAACGAAACCGGGAGTTTTGGCTGAACAACTTTGCTCCAATGATTTCCTCATGGCCACCAACAAGGTAGGCGAAGTACTGATTGATTGCTTACGTTTATTCCAAATATTTCAAGTGAAAAATCATCAGTTTCCACTCTTCTTGTTATCGATGCAAATGCACTAAACTTTGGAACCTTCTGTTTTGCTTGATGTATTTTGATTAACGCTGAAGAAAAAATGTGTTGTTTTAAGAAATTAATTTGTGCGTAATACACAGTGCTAATGCTAGAAAATCGTTGAAGATTTTATTATTGTTATTAATTATTAATTTTGGCAAAAGTAGGTTCGTATCACCGGTAATCAAAGTTGCTTAAGGCACTTTCTGAACAACGGAAAGGTCTAAAATTATCAACTCTTGGCAACTAATGCGAGTTTCGGTGTGACACAATTAGGCCTCGAGAGAAATAGTGGGCTCGATTCACTTCAGGTCACACTGTACAATTTTCGATAAATAACAACTTTTATTTATTCAAATAGACAACTATTTGTGTGAGCAAAATTTTTGGAAGAAACGGCCCATTATGCATCATTATTAATTCATTTCATTTTTACTTTGCAGGACTTTTCAAATGTAAATTAACTAATAAATAGCGAACAATTTTAGTGCAAACCTATACCTAAATCATATGTTTGTGCGTTGTATCAAAATTAGTCTGATTAAACACATTTTGGACATGTTTCATGCAGCTTTGTACTTATTTTTAAATTCACTTTTAAAAATATCCATGAAAGACGTAAAGTTTTATTAAATTTGTGTTCTTTTATTTCGGCATTGCAACCAATTTCTGTGGTTTGTTCTCATATTTTCTTGTTACAACACATACAAAACCAGCATATTTCCAAAAATAATAGAAAATTCAATTTAAGCGAATATTTTTATCATTTTTTCTCTGCGCTTTAGTTATGCTGGTCATTAATAAGACTCAACTTAACAAAACACCGGAAAAATTCGTGACTTAAATATAAAATCCGCATCGAAAATTCTTGATTCATGTATCCGATGATGGCTCAAATAACAAAACCGTGCGTAATAAATTATTCGAATCCCAAACGATTTATCAGTCGAATCCCGGTTAAAGCAAGAAGCTAATGGTCATTGGAAACGCGTATAAAGTGCTAGAAATAAAAAAAAAAGCATTTGCAGCAATAAATTATTTTTATCAAAGTGTTTTTAATATTTTTTTAGTCCGTCAAGGAAATTAATGTAGACCATTTTTTCTTTAGCACTCTAACTCTTAATGATGCTTAATGTTTCTACTTCCAGAAATTTTAGGAAACATTTTATTGCTCAGTAAATAGACAAATTTTATGCATATAATAAACCAAATATTATATTAGTGAAGATATTACTTAAAATTTAGCTAAAAGTGCGTTGCATTAAGGTCATTAATATCTAAATGATTGCTAACAAACCAATATACAGGGTAATAGCGGCTCACTTGGATAGTACGAAAAAAATATAATTTTTTTTTTTTTATTTCTGGAAGATGTTAACAGTTGAAATGATTAGTAACAGACCCATAAAATGCCATTTAAAAAAATGTGGAACAAAAGGAATTTTTACTCTTCCGGCTTGCTTAAACTGCAGATGTTTTCCTGAACTTTAGTAATAAGTTTTCTGCAAAAATTATTTTCGGCAAATAAACTGGCTACGCCTCTTCAGTTTTTGTCTCTTTTGTATAAAATAGATTGCGTCTAAACGGTTAGAGATGGACAAGCAATAAAAACACCGTGTTTTCTTGACTTAGCGATTTGCATATGCAAAAATTATTAGTATACAGGGTGTGCTATAAAAGAACCACTGAGTTTTAACTTTTTGACTGTTTTTTGCTGCAAGAGTGCCCATGGCAATGGGTATTTTGAAAAATAATTTTTCGGAATCCTTAATAGATAGCAACCTTGGTTTTTCCTTCGGCTTTTCGAAGAAGAAACAGGATTTTTTTTAGCATTTTATGCAGAAAAAGCGAACATAAGTTTTGTCGCTCGAAATCACTGCTTTCTATGAATGTTGCGCCAAAATATAAAACAACCGTTTGAGAAAAATCGGTTATAAATAAAGCATTTTGACGAAAAACGGAAAAATGAGACAATCAAGCACCAACATTCCACCAGTTGTTCAAGGTGTATAAAGTGAATCAAAGACGTTCAGAATGACTATTTCATAAAATTTTCTAACACCTCTTGAACTATTGATTATTTAAAGTGGCCTCCACTGTATACTGTAAACCAACAGAATTATACCAGTGTAGCGCAAATAATTTTGCATATTTTAAACAAATATTGACTCTATGAAACACACAGTTTTCTGATTTTTTCGTGAATTGCGTTATCAACGATTGCGTCATGAGAAGCAGAACATTATAGAATAAAACCTGACTCGGATCAAGGTACTTCTTGACGCACTCAAACTCAAAAAATACATTCGAAGTAACATAAGTGTTTATGCGAGTGGATGGCATCGATCCAAAGCTTGAGAAATATGTGTGGAATGTCAGTTTCTTTCCCAATTCCTGAACTTTATGTGAAAACTTGGGCTTGCAAATGCATTTTTTCGGCCCTACATGAGGCAAAGGCGGTTTCTTTGATAATTTGAACTTCCAGACTCAACTGGTAACGAAACAATGCACGGAAAATGGGACCTGGTATATGAAGAAGGGATCTGAAAGGCCTTGGACGAACTTCTCCCAATGCGGAAATATCCACTACATTGATGTGGAAGCGACCAGGCTAAACAACGAAACCAACCAAATGTGCGCTGAATGGTTGATGTTGATTAAGGATACAACCAACGTGGGATATGGACTGTCTATTGTAGCTTTATTTTTTGCTCTAGTCATATTTGTTAAACTGAAGTGAGCCCTGAATTTTATATTTTTAGACTCACTCATTCAATTCGTCGTCGGTTTTGTCTAAAAACCGATAAAGAATTGACATCAGTTACCTAATTAGAGCTTATCAGATAACACGTTTTATTTGCTAAGAACCAATTGAGTAAACATCATAGTTGAACCGTGGGAATTGTTTTGTTTGCACAACAAAACAATAAATTTTACGTTTTTTTTTGTAGAAGACTGCACTGTGAACGCAACAAATTGCATGTAAACCTATTTACAACCTACGTATTGAGGGCCTTAATCTACTTTGCCAAAAATGCATTTTTCTTCGACGGCCCCACTTTGGTTAACGACATTAGCCTTGTTGGCGACCAGGCCGGGCCTGATTATGTGAGTACGAAAATCCAGTTAAACGTGAAAACTTACTGCAATTTGGTAGAATTTATTTTCGCGAAATGGGCCAGAGGGAGCTATTAATAATATTCTGACGCAGAAAGTCACTTAAATCAACCGAGCTGAATCCTAATCAGTAAACAGATTTTATATACATATTCATCAAGCGAAAGTAGTTTTTTCGGTTTATCTAGCCTTCATTCATAAACATTTCAATGACTAGCATTGCATTCCGCCGATGTGCAACGCACTCTCATGGGACAAACATCTATTTTTACTATCATCAATGCTCATAATGGAGTATTCCACTTTAAAATCGAAATTTTTTGGCGGCAACAGCAGTGAATTTTTTACGTTCTGCGTGTCTCTAAATCACTTCACCTCGACTCATTTTATCAAGTCACTTTTTAAAATAAAATGTGTTTTGTTCGCAAAGTGATTTGTCAAACCAATGTGCAAGCTTTCAGCAAAAACCAATCACTCTTTGCTTACGAACAGTGTAAGTTGCAGAGAATCGTCGATTTGATGGCGTTTTGCCCGCATAGATTCTAAGTAGCATTTCTCTCTAAACCATTTACTGAGAAAATAATTTTCGACGGGATGTTTTCCAAGTGGCGTTCCTCTCTAACTGCCACACTTAGAAAGTCAATTTCTTCCTAATCTTGTAGAGCAGAGTCTGCTATCGAAAGGAGAAATGTTTTAATTTTCCAGCCTCTTCTGTAATTTTTTTGGAATTTTTAAATTTATCACATTTAGATTTAGGTTTTAAAGACCAATTTCTTCTAGGAATCACTTCAATAGTCATTTTTTCCGGAATAGAAATCATCGTTGAAAAATCCAATCCATCATTGAGGGCATCTTGAAGAAATATTAAAGGTTGATTACAAATTTCACTGACTTTTTTGTTAGATGCTAATTAATAATTTATCCACGCAAAGAAAAGTTTATCACGTTAGGATGGCCCGTTTACACAATATTTCACATTCACATTTCTCACTAACTGAAACATCTAGAACTTAAAAATTTCCATGATTTTTAGAGCAAGGCTCATTTTACTAACGAAAAAAGTTATATTTTTGAAACTTGAGTAGTCACTTTTGGGGATTTTTTTGAATGAATTGAAATGTGCAACTGTGCAAAAGGCGCCAGAATTTATTTCGCTCATTTGTGCTTAAATACGCATTTCTTCCAAATCAGTCGACTTTGAAACCCAGTTTTTTTAGCATTTTCTAGAGAAAAGTCATGTTTCTAAGTGAGAAAAGTTTGCGTTTCGCTGGTTTACGTTTCAGTTTATGAATTAGAGCTTGTTTTTGGCTTTATCAAATTTTGAACCAGGTGGTTCATAGAGAAAGGCCGTTTTACCATAATTTTGTAGTATAAAATCGATTGTAAAAATTAGAAAATTTTAATTTTTGTACAATTGAAAGGTACAACTGTGTGGAAGACGCCAGAATTTATTTCGCTCGTTTGTGTTTAAAGACGCATTTCTCCCTAACCGGTCGACTTTGAAACCCAGTTTTTTTTAGAATTTTCTAGAGCAAAGTCATGTTTCTAAATGAGAAAAGTTTGCTTTTCGTCGGTTTCTGTTTCAGTTTTTGATTTTTTTTAAATTAGAGCTTGTTTTTGGCTTTATCGAAGTTTGAATCAGCTGGTTCGCAGAAAAAGTGCCACAATGTTATAGAATGAAGTCGGTCGTAAAAATGAGCAAATTTTCATTTTTGTACAATCTTGGGAAACATGTTGAGGTATTATTGAACAAAACGAATAATACAGAATCACTTCGATTGTCATTTTTTCCAGAATAGATGAACAATCCAATTCATGATGGAGAGGGTTTCGTGAAGAAATTTTAAAGGCTGATTACGAACTTCACTGAATTTTCGGCTCAAGATTTTTTAGAGGAAGTAATTTTACTAACGAAAAAAGTTTAATTTTTGAAACTTGCGTAGTAACTTTTGGGGAAAGAAGTTGCAACTGTGCAAAAGGTGCCAGAATTTATTTCGCTCATTTGTGTTTAAAGATGCATTTCTTCCTAACCAATCGACTTTGAAATCCAGTTTTTTTAGCATTTTCTAGAGAAAAATCATGTTTCTAAATGAGAAAAGTTTGTTTTTCGCTGGTTGATGTTTCAGCTTTTGAATTAGAGCTTGTTTTTGGCTTTATCGAATTTTAAACCAGGTGAGGTGGTTCACAAAGACCATTTTTAAATTTGTATACAACTTTTGGGCCATTTTTTGAATTAAAAGGTGCAACTGTGTAATAGGGGTCAGAATTTATTTTGCTCGTTTGTGTTTAAAGACGCATTTCTCCCTAACCGGTCGACTTTGAAACGCAGTTTTTTTAGAATTTTCTAGAGCAAAGTCATGTTTCTAAATGAGAAAAGTTTGCTTTTCGTCGGTTTCTGTTTACGTTTTTGATTTTTTATTTAATTAGAACTTGTTTTTGGCTTTATCGAAGTTGGAATCAGCTGGTTCACAGAAAAAGACAGCTTTACCACAATGTTGTAGAATGAAGTAGTAGTATAAAAATAAGCCAATTTTCATTTTTGTACAATCTTCGGAAACATGTTGAGGTACTATTGAACAAAACGAATAATACAGAATCACTTCGATTGTCATTTTTTCCAGAATAGAAATCATCCTTCAAAAATCCAATTCATCATTATTACATAAGAAATATTACAGGTTGATTACGAACTTCACTGAATTTTCGGCTCAAGATTTTACTAGACGCTAACTAATAATTTCTCTATGCAAAAATTTTGTATCACGTTCACATTTTTTACTAACTGAAACATCTAGACATTGAAAAATGTCTATGATTTTTTACAAGAAGACGCATTTTACTAACGAAAAAAGTTTAATTTTTGAAACTTGCGTAGTCACTATTGGGGAAAGTTGCAACTGTGCAAATGGCGCCAGAATTTATGTTTAAAGACGCATTTCTTCATAACCAGTCGACTTTCAAACCCAGTTTTTTTGCATTTTCTAGAGAAAAGTCATGCTTCTAAATGAGAAAAGTTTGCTTTTCGCTGGTTCGTGTTTCAGTTTTTGAATTAGAGCTTGTTTTTGGCTTTATCGAATTTTGAACCAAGTGATTCACAAAGAAAGACAGTTTTACCATAATTTTGTAGAATGAAATCGATTGTAAAAAATTAGAAAATTTTAATTTTTGTACAATCTTTAGAAAAATATTGAGGTATTATTGAACAAAACTAATAATACAGAATCACTTCAGTTATCATTTTCTCCAAAATTTAAATCATCGTTGAAAAATCCAATTCATCAATGAGGAATTCTTGAAGAAATATGGTTGATTACGAATTTAACTGACTTCGGCTCAAGATTTTGTTAGACGCTAAATAATAATAATTTCTCTACTCAAAAAAAGAGTTTATCACATTCACATTTCTCACTAACTGGAACTTCTACAACTTAAAAATGTTTATGATTTTTTAAAGGAAGACTCATTTTACTAACGAAAAACAATTCATTTTTGAAACTTTTGGGGAATTTTTTGAATTGGAAGGTGCAACTGTGTAAAAGGTGCCAGAATTTATTTCGCTCGTTTGTGTTTAAAGACGCATTTCTTCCTAACCGGTCGACTTAGAAACCCAATTTTTTAGCATTCTCTAAAGCAAAGTCTTGTTTCTAAATGAGAAGAGTTTACTTTTCGTTGGTTCATGTTTAGTTTTTGAAAAATTTTTGAATTAGAACTTGTTCTTGGCTTTACCGAATTTTGAATCAGCTGGTTCACAGAGAAAGACAGTTTTACCACAATTTTTGCACAATTTTTGGAAAGATGTTGATGATCATTTTTGTACAATCATTTTAGAATAAAACGACACAACATTTATTTTCCTGGTGTGTTTTCGAAGTCGCATTTATTATTGACCGATTCACAATGAATGAATGAATGAATGAATTTTTCAGAAATTAAAAAAAATTTTACACGCCGAGCAAATACATAAAACTACCTTTTACAGTCAAACTAAAAGGCAATTTTGAAACATTTTACTTTATTTTCTACGTGATTGCTTCGGGCCATTGGAACCAAACAAATAGTTCCGCTCAACTTGTATATGATGATTTACGTTTCTACATACAAAAAAAATGTTTAATGAAACTCGTATTTTCTTCAGACACGTGAAACAAGCAAAAAACGTATAAAAATCTCCTGCAGCAAATCCTAAAACACACACAATGCGTTTTTGAAACCCGTGAGTTTTCCGCGCTATTTGGGGTCGTGAACATTTTTTCCCTGACGTTTTGCAAGCACGAGTAGCTCGCATCTTCAGTGGTACGTGCGCTGCGGGCAACACATCAAAATCTTCCTAAGAATTAACATGATTAACAAAGGATAAATACAAATTAACAAAATATTTTTCTAGGCTTGGATGTGTAAGCTATTCACAAGCATACAGTTTTACGTAACGACATGCAACTTCACTTTCATGTTAATGGAAGGACTGTATCTGCACAATCTGATCTTCTTGAACTTATTTTCGGAGAGCCATGGAACGACGATCTACTGCGTTTTGGGATGGGGTAATAATACGGGCCTTATTCACGGTTGAGTCCAAAATATAAGTTTGTTGTAGCTATTCCTGTGCTTTTTATAGTCCCTTGGATAGTTCTGAAGATTTTATTCGAGAACGTTTATTGCTGGACCCAAATCGAAAATGAGTATATTGTTTTATTTTTGGAAGTACCAACTGGAGTAACCGTGATTGTAAGTTTTGGATTAGTTTGTTTATTTCAGAGAAATGCAAATCACTTTCTTCTGCTGGAAGGCGAAACTCAAAGTAACCAAATAAATTCTTTTGCAGCTTTTGAGAAGCATTTGATTTTTAAGGATTTTCTAATGAATTTAGTCTCCTGTTTGCAGGTAAACTTTGTTTTATTCACCTTAATCATGAGGGTATTGATACTGAAGATTAACTTTACTTCTACCTTTACCAATTACAAACACACTAAATGCAGGTAAGTTGTTTTTGTTTAACACTTCTGGAGTCTTCGGTTGAATGAAGCAATTTCAATCCCTCAACCAGAAAACTCTAAAACTGCTTTTGTTGATCGCAGGAAGCTTCTGAAGTCCACCCTAATCCTCATTCCACTCTACGGCATCCCGTATACAATATCTTTGGCACTAAGATTTGTTATTCATCTTCAGCGAAGCACCTCGTTGGAGATGACCTGGATGTTTTTCGATCAGACCTTTACGTCCTTTCAAGTGAGTTTTCCTATTCAAAAAAACACGAGCGCATTCTCATGGGTTTTAAACAGGGATTATTTGCTGCCTTGGTCTACTGCCTGCTGAATGGCGAAGTACAGAAAGAAGTGTTCCGCAAGTATAATTCTTTGGTGGATCAGACCGACAAGGAGTTTCGACGAAGTAGAACTTTATCGACTAATTCGCAAAATGTTTGCTTTCCAAATGACGACGCCGTTGAAAACTTGAAACTAGTTGGTATAATCGATGAAGAAACTGCTAATTTACATTTAGCGAACAGTGGAACATGATTAGATAATGTATTTATTTTATAAATGCAGCGCTCTATCAATTATATTCACGACAAATGGCCTAATTCGAATAGAACAATTTATGAACATCCTGGTAGTTTGCTCGTTAGCAAGTCATCAGTTTATGCTGTTTTATGCAAGGATTTGTGAAAATTATCGTATAAAATCCACCAAAAATTGTTTTGGAGTTTAACCATCATAAAACAGACATTTAAAATTGTTTTTTATCAAGAATTTTAACTAAGTAGAGGTAGATTCTGAAAAATTCTAATCTTTCAAAGTTACAATTTCCAATCTGCCTCTTTTGTAGATGTTGGGGAAAAATTATTTTCGCTTTTGCCTAAATTACAAGAAAATTAAGGCATTATTTTGCAATTGTTTGCACTTAGTCGTCGTAAAATATGAGTAAATTAGTAATATAAAATATAATAAATTCTTGTTGTCGTCGCGTATATGTCTCAAAATCCTTTTAAAACTATGTGATATACAGGGTGACATTGTAAAAACTTGCCAGGGCCTCAAAAATACTTTTTTATGAATATGAATGCAAAGCACTTTTTATTAGGTAAAAGCAGATTTTTTTCAAACTACAATGTTGGGCATTAATTGGCATGGTTTTCCATTCTCACTATAGATTGAGCAAATGATTTGAAATTCACCCTGTATGTATGTATGTTAATCTATATTTAGACTGTTGTATGCAGTTATATATGTGTCTTCTTCGTTTATAGGCCTATTAATTCGCAAAGTGCGAGCTATTTATATAAATTAAACAAATGCTTTTTTGTATGTGCTTTACTTTTGTAAAATAAATACATAAGGGACTTATATGATGGTTTGATTTGTATTGTTTTTTATATAAATATATGCGTTTTTTAAATTTCTATAAACTGACTGAACGGAGTAAATTTCGCAAAATCCTGCATAAAAAAGTGAATCCTACCGACGTCTGGGTAAAATTGTTTCAAATATTTTTACTGTGGAATAAGCTGCACATTAGTTGATCCCAAATCAGTAACTTTTTACTGTATTGAAATCAAATCAAATCTTCAAATCAATCAAGTCATGGCGTTCTTTGCTATCTGAGGAAAAATTTGTGAATTTTAATGAGTGAAAAGTGACCGGAAAGCGCATTTGCACAAGAAAAGTTCTTAGTAAAAAAATTAATAATCAGGCGGGAATCTTGGAACTGTGATTGTGCCGTTTAAAGTCCCTCCGAATTTTTACTTTGTTCTTTTTTACCTTAAAGTACACTTCAAATTTAAGTACTTTCAGCGAAAAAAATTCCTGAATGGTCCACTTACATACTTTTGAAAGTTGTTTATTATGCACGAAAATTAAATTGTCCGGTGCTATTTGCTGATAAATCGCGCTTTCGGTATCAGCAATTCATAACTCCATATGCAAAATTGTAGCTAAGATGCGTAATAATTGTGTATTTCGCAGAAGTTCGAGCATCTTTTCTAAGGTCGACCATTGATTGAGGTGATCAAGCGCGTCGATGTTCAGATGGCGAAATTTTGCCCATAACAGATATTCATCTACCTTTAAAGCTGCTTCATAAACAGAATTTAGCTGCTGATAAGGTAAACCCCCGACCTCGCCGAATATCGTCTCCACAGAACACCTCTGAACAAGAAGTGACAACTCCATGCAAACGCCCGTGATCGCTTATGCGCGCTCTCTGCCAGGTGTTTCGGTCCCTAAATTAAAAAGAAGCGGGAATTTCGATTTATTAATTACAATATGATTGTAAAGCCTGTGTCCCATGCATCCGCTTATACGATGGTACGATGATACGAAAGTCTTTCTATTGGTTGGCGGAAGAATTCGCAGATCTCCGAGCTCTCTAGTTATTCTCCGAGCCACGTTATGCTCCATTATTGTAAAACAAACATAAATATCACAGTTATCAAACTAGTTGAAAATGCTTATGATTGCAAATTAAAAACATTGATAGACTGAAAGATTGAAAATTGACGGAATAATCTTAACTGTAAAATACTGTATGTTCAGAGTCCTCTTATGGACATACAGTATTTCAAATCATTCTGGCGGGAAAGCAAAACTGTCCAATCTATACTCTGTAATCTGTGATAATTCAGTTCGTTGAACACTAATTCTAACCCCTCCTTTCGCTTATGTGGAACGTCATTTGTAACTCAGAGTGAGAGTGAGATGAGAGGCGAGGAAATCCAAAAGTTGGCAACGTTATAGCGACATTTCTTCATCTGAAATTTCATTTTAAAAATTAATTCAAATACTTATTATCTAGTTGTTATTTTTGCACAATGTATTTGATTTTTGTAGGATTTTATTATGCTTTCAACCGGATTAAAATCAATTAATTAAATAAACTGATATTAAAATACAAAATTCTCGAACTCAGTCCAGCAGTGTGAGATTGTCAATAAATAGAGAGTTATTTGTCGGCCAATACGTTCATGCAGTATTAGAGTTTGCGCTATTTTGACACAAACGCCTGCGCAAATCAGTTTAAAAAATAAGTACTGCAAAATTACTACCAGAGACAAGAAATAATTATTCCTTGTCTCTGATTACTACTGTTCTGTAGTAATCATGTAGTAATTGTGCCCCGATACCGCACGTTTTATTTTCTACGCTAAACTGGCAGTTGACATTTCTGACGTCCGCTTGTAGGTTATTTCATTATAACATAACCCAGTTTCACCCGTTTCTAATTGACTACTTGATTACATATGTAAACATTACGTTTAACTACGTATTAAATCTTGTATTACTTATACAATTGGTTCAAAATGCCACATTTTTGCAGTGCCGTTTAATGCTCAATGCGTGCTGAACGAGATACGGTTTCTTTTTTCCGATTTTAGAAAAAAAAACCATAGGAGAAGACAAGAAAAACTAATTAGTTAGTTTTATATTCAAAGTGTCCAATAACTCTCTAATCTGTGTCTCTAATGTCATCGGCACAGATTATCAAACTATTTAGATTGGCAAGTCCAGCGATTTCGGCAAACCGCATTCAGTCGCGCCCCATCGATGCGGCCTGGTAATTAAACCGTCAAATTCAAATGTTATTCAAGTTAAGTTATCATTAAAAATGTCAAAAAATCAGTTCTTTTAAATGGCACCTACTAGTTTCCTTGGTCCTGGGAGATTTTCAAACAGAACCAAAAAAGTTAGTACGAGCGATTTAAACGATTTTTTAACTTTTTGTATCAATGTTTGTAGGCTGCAAGCACCCAAATGTTACAAAATAGGTACATTTAAGCCAGCCGGGGTGTTAGCTTGGGCTTTCAGCTATCTAACAAATTTGGGTAAAACGGCTTTTAATCGATACGCGCTGTCGCCAAATCTCCAAAATTGTCGATGCCAGCGCTCCTGGCGGCGCGGGCACGCGTAACACGGAACTCAGGAATACAGAGTGTGAGCAGGCCCATGTCATGGGTCTTTCAAATCGAAACCGGTTTCTGTCATGTTTCTGTCTGTTCAAATGTATCACGATATTTCCAACGTTTTCTCAATAGCTTTATTTGTTTCGTGTTAGCTAAAACAGTGAAGATCGACCTCAGGATGGCACAATCCTTAAACCAGCCGAAGAAAACGAATAAAACGCAAAATATTCTAGTGGCTGTAAGAGTCAGGTGAGTGCTTAATGTTGTCTAGTTGGATTGTTTGGCCTCAACGTGCTCAAATATTTTATAAAGGCAAGCAGTGGTTTGTTATGAAGAGTCGAAATTCATTTGAAAACTTTTGAGTTTAGTAATAGGACTTACTTGCATATTGATCTCTGTATACATAAATTTATGCCCAAAATGCCACAGCTAACAGTAGAACTTCAAGTAGGAACAGGCATGTCAAGCGTTTTGCAAAAAACTAAATCCTGAATTTCTTCTCACACGATCCTGTAGAATAGATGACGAATTTTTATGCTAACGAGTGTGTTTGTTTCCAGACCATTTACCGACGATGAGAGAAGCAAAAACTCAAAGAACATCGTCAATTGCGTTTCGCGCCATGAGCTGCAATGTAAAGATAAAAAATACCATTTTGATAAAGTGTTCGACTTCAGCAGCTCCCAATTGGATGTGTATCAATTTGCTGTGGGCCCCATGATTATAGACGTGCTGGCTGGCTATAATTGCACAGTTTTCGCATATGGTCAGACTGGAACTGGTAAAACGCACACTATGGTAGGAGACGATAAGGATCTCACTACCAAAAATTCGTGGAGAGAGGTGAGAGAACATACGTGTATGTTCTATTTATGTTTTCTACTCCATTCAGTAAGCAAATTTGAAAAAACACGGCGTTTTAGTATGAAATGGCTGGATGCATTCCAAGAGCTGCGGCAAACATATTTGAGGAACTACGGATGCGGAATGTGCGTGATTATGATGTTACCGTCTCATTCCTTGAGCTCTACAATGAAGAGGTGAGAGACTTGTTTAACGCAGAATGGTCGTGCTCTCCACTGAGGTAAGTATTTGAGTGATTAAGGCGATTTTAGGGCAAGCGTAGTTTTGGGTGGATAAAACAAATATTAATGATAAACAGAGTGCAAAGATGGTTTCAAGCTCCAGGTAAAGTTCAACAACTTCAAAAAGCTAAGCTCAAAAACACAGATCTTTCGAATTAAATTCGAACGCGGACAAAGTAAAGAATATTTATTTTTGAAGATTTTTTTCTTCAAGAGTATTTTGCATCTAGGATAGACAAAGTTTTATTTAAATTGCAGTTTTTTAGGCACAAGTAATACAAGGTTAGCAAATTGTATGCGAGTTGAAAAAAAACTGTAACTTCGAGTTGAGTGAAACCATTTACTTGAAATTCACAATATAGAAGGGGTTTGACATAGCAGATGAATAAAGTTTAATTTCACATTTAGCAATGTTTTTTGAGCTTTGAAGCCGTGGTCCATGGGAATTTCTTCCTGACGTTTCGTCCACAACTGCGGTGGACATTATCAAAGGTGATGAGGCAGTGGGCGAAGTGATCTCCCGTGCCTTTGATAATGACCACCGCAGTTGTGGACGAAACGTTAGGAAGAAATTCCCATGGACCACGGCTTCAAAGCCCGAAAAACATTTCTAAATGTGATTTGACCGGCCGTGAATGCCTTCACAGTCTGGTAAAGTTTAATTTAGCTTGGAGAAGGCATTGAATGTCAGGGGGCAGATAACGAAAGGGTTCAAAATTGGACACGAATTGAAAAAAAAATATTGAACTGGATTGGGTGAAATAATGTACTGTATGAAATTTTCTCACAATGTAAAAAAGTTATTTAAATTAGAACACCATTCTTTAAAAATTGCAACTTTTCATCCTGATAATTTAGCCACTTGAAACTCACACACTGTATAGAAGATTCCTGACTTTGAAGTTCGAGAAAGTTTCATTGAAATCGCAGTAAAACCTGATTTTCATCTACTTTGTAAACGTAGATGTAGACTGGGACTATCCAGTCAACTTTACGCTCTACTTTAAAAAATCGTAACTTTCAAGTTTCATCAGATTGCAACTTGAAACTCGCACTCTCTACAACCTGTAGAGAATATATGTAAATATATATGAATATATGTTCCGTAAATATGTTAACATATTTTAACAGCGTGTTCTCCTAGTCATTTTAGAGGGGGTCTTCCTAAGAATTTTGATAATTTGAGGTCTCATTTTTGAGATATTTGATTTCCAGAATAGCGAAAAAATCTTAGTTTTTGTTGTTTTTCTTTAAAACGATTAAACATAGAAACTTCAATTTTGGTACACATTATAGGTTTTTTTTACAAACTTCTTTTTGGGTATTTCGCCTCAAAAATTTTTGTCTTTATAAAAGACAGAATTTCCTCACGTCTTTTATTACAGATTGATAAATAGTGCTCCTATTT